TTGGCACCTGCAGAAACTAATGAGCATATAGACAGGCGGGTGGAAATTGTCCAAAACAGACAGCTTAACCCAGCGGTTCTCAACCTTTCTAATGCCATGACCCCTAAATAAAGTTCCTCATGTTGTGGTGACTCCCAACCATATTTTCATTGCTACTTCATAAATAATTTTGCTACTCTTATAAATTCTAATGTAAATATCTAATATGTGGGATGTATTTTCATTGTTACAAATTGAACCTAATTAAAGCATTAATTAATCACAAAAACAATATGTTTGGGGGAGTATGGACAACGGATGATGGGATTTGTAGTACCTTCAACCAATTGATCTCTGACTTATGGAAGATGTAGTTCACCTACATCCAAAAAACACCGTGAACCCAAATGACTATGGATCTGGACCAAACTTGGCATGAATACTCAATATGCCCAAATTTGAACAATGGTGGAGTTTGGGGGGAAATGGATCTTGACATTTGGGAGTTGCCCTTGCTGGGATTTATAGTTCCTCAGCCATCAAAGAGCATCCTGAACAACAAAATGGAATTGAACAAGCTTGGCATTCAGAACTCCCATAAATAGCAGAAATTACTGGATTTTTTTGGGGTTATTTTCCTGACATTTGGGAGTTGTTGGGAGGTATAGTTCTCTCCCATCCAAAAGCATTCCCAACTCATGCAACCATGGAATGGACTCAAACTTGGCACAGAGAACTTCCATGATCAACAGTCAAGGCAGCTTCGCGACCCCCCGAAAATGGCCGAACGACCCCCCCAGGGGTCACGACCCCCAGGTTGAGAACCGCTGGCTTAACCAATGCCTTCAGCGTTCTGCCAGGCTTGAACAGAAAAAGATAAGAGGCGTTCAGGGAAAACAAAACCAATTTCTGAGCGCTTGGAATGGCTTAACGAAGGGGTATAAAGTTCCAAGCATGGGAAATATAGTCAGATGAAGCATCATTTAGAATCCTGCTAAGTTCTTGTTCTTGTCTCATGGAAGCCTTTGCTGGGAAGATTCATGTTTTTCTTGTTTAGTGGTTTGACTCTGTCTCTTGTGATTACATACTCATGCCTTGGATAAACGTTTCCTGGTTCTTTGGATTTTGTTAGAGAAGTCTGGACTTTGCTTTTGGACTTTGCTGGACCTTACCTTGGACTCATTTTTTCCTGCTTATCTTCTTACTTAATTGGATTTACCTACTCCTTTAAAGTATTTTTTTTTACTTTACTGCTTTTACTTATCTTCAATAAAAAGGATTGTTTTTCTCTACTCAACGTGTGGCGTTTTAAAGTCAGAGGGTTATTCCTGTCCTGGAGTGCAACAGCCAGGCAGTTCCCTCCCACTTTATTGCGGTCCAAATTCCACATCAATATGGGGTTGTAGTACGTATTAATGAACAAATGGACCAATTCTGGGTTAAGAAAGAACAAGGCACCTGGGAGTGTTGCAGGGTAACAACCCAGATCCGTTGACGGTGCGCCGACCACAATGCGACAGTCGAAATAGAAAACTAATTTATTCATCTTTTCTCTTTGTTTTTTTCTGTTTTGCTATGTACAAGTTTAATGGAGGGATTTGTTTTGGGTCGGAAACAATGAAAAAGAGCAGGGCACATCTTCCATTCCCCCACCCCCCATCCACCCCCCATTAAACATTCAACAGTTAACAGAAGAAGTAGGTAGCCGAGACCATGGCGGTGGGGGCAAAAGGTATTATTACATTATTTGAAAAAAGGAATGGTGCCGAGACGGCAATTTGGACCAAAGGCATGCCATGGAGAGAGAGAAAGAAAAGGAGCGCAGGGGTCAAGGAAACCAGCAACAGAAACCCACAAACACCAAAGCTCTGCCGTTCTGAAGACGTCCCAACCCCGTTTGGGAAGATACCTGGATCCGCACTGCATCACTATATAGATATTTGATACTACTTTAGATGCAAGAGTTTCGTAATAGGACTGGGACACACCATCCTCATGTTGGAAAATGGGGATCCATCCTGACCATCGAGGAACCCCATTAAGATTAGAGAGAACCTGGTGCAATTTTCTCCATGGCGGTTGAAGTGATATGGAATTGGTACGGTTCTGCAGTGCGGATGCAGCCATGGATCTTGATTCCAATAAAAAGAAACTTTCCCAAACCCTGGGTAGTGCACTGGGGCCATCAGATAGCTCAGGCATGGGCAAACTTGGGCCCTCCAGGTGTTTTGGATGTCAACTCCCACAATTCCTAACAACTCCCATATTGTATTGTCAAAGGCTTTCATGGCCAGAATCACTGGGTTGTTGTAGGTTTTTTCGGGCTATATGGCCATGTTCTAGAGGCATTTTCTCCTGACGTTTCGCCTGCATCTATGGCAAGCATCCTCAGAGGTAGTGAGGTCCTCACTACCTCTGAGGATGCTTGCCATAGATGCAGGCAAAACGTCAGGAGAAAAATTGCCTCCAGAACACGGCCATATAGCCCGGAAAAACCTACAACAACCCAACTCCCATATTCCTACTAACTATTAGGAATTGTGGGAGCTGAAGGCCAAAACACCTAGAGGGCCCAAGTTTGCCCATGCTTGAGACAGCTCATTCACAGACTTTTGAGATTTAAAATGATGCATACTTCCCCGCATGGAGAAGACTAGCATGTGAAAGAGAAAGTGCTAGCTTACTATCAGAAGGGATATTCCAGCAATCATTTTTTTTATTGTTTATAGACAATATGTATAAGCCACCAAGGAAGGTGCTGGATGGCTCACAATACCAGCAAAACACGCCTAGCTACAAATGGTGACATATAAAAGCCAAACATAAGATCAGGGTGCATCTACACTACAGAAGGTAAGTAGTTTGACACCACTTTAATGGGAGTTTTGTAGTTTGTTAGGGTCTTGAGCCTTCTCTGTCAAAGAGCGTGGTTGCCTCGTCAAACTACAAAGCCCAGGATCCCATAAAGTGGCGTTGGACTGCGTTAATTCTACAGCGTAGATGTGTGCCAATATATATATATACGAGAATGTGATGCAAAACAGGGTCGTGTTTCTGAAATTCTATATCCCATTTCCTACACTTTATTCTTTGCAATGTAAAGACTGGCTCTCAGTCTTACCAAATCTTCGGATAAATAATGCCCTGCCCAAACATGAGCAGAGATGTTCAATCCATTGGGTTTGTCCACATGTTGACTCTGGCTACATCCGCACTGCAGAATTATAGCCATTTGACACCACATTAGTTGTCATGGCTCCATACTGTGGAATTATGGAATGTGTAGTTTTGTCAGACATTTACCCTTCTCTATCAGATAAGTCTGTTGCCATCAAAAATTACAAACCAGAAGATCCCATAGGATAGAGCTATTGCAAGGAGTGTTTTTGAGGAATCATTCTGCAGTATGGATGATGTTCTAATGTTCAGTAATTAATTTGGGAGGCCCTCCACATTTGGTGGGGTTAGGAAACCCTTCCAAAAGTGGATAAAGCACGAATAAAAGAAATTCTACTTGTTTCACCTGAGAATACACCTCTTTAGGATATCTAGTATTATTCCATGGTCCGTTTCTACTAGAAGTGGGCCAGAGTATTGCTCTGGAAGAACTGGACATTCCTAGAAATGCTCAGACTCCAGGTCTTCCAGTGCAGATCTGTGGCCAGTTTTGACCAGAGGTTGACCACAAAATTGAATCAGAACACCTAGAAATTATTTTTAGGACTCTTTAGATCCTCCAGTGCGACTTTATGGCTGGTTTTGGTCAAAGGTTGACCACAGAATTGAACCAGAAAGTTAGAAATTATCTTTAGAACTTTTTAGGTCCTTCAGTGTGATTTTATGGCCTGTTTTAGCCAGAGGTTGACCACAGAATTGAACCAGAAATATTATAAATTGTTTTTAAGACTCTTTAGGTCCTTCAGTGTGACTTTATGGCCGGTTTTGACCAGAGGTTGACCACAAAATTGAATCAGAAGACCTAGAAACTATTTTTAGGACTCTTTAGGTCCTCCAGTGTGACTTTATGACTGGTTTTGGCCAAAGGTTGACCACAGAATTGAACCAGAAAAATTAGAAATTATCTTTAGAACTTTTTAGGTCCTTCAGTGTGACTTTATGGCCCATTTTAGCCAGAGGTTGACCACAGAATTGAACCAGAAAAATTAGAAATTATTTTTAGGACTCTTTAGGTCCTCCAGTGTGACTTTATGGCCAGTTTTGGCCAGAGGTTGACCACAGAATTGAACCAGAAAAATTAGAAATTACCTTTAGAACTTTTTAGGTCCATCAGTGTGACTTTATGGCCYGTTTTGYCCAGAGGTTGACCACAAAATTGAATCAGAAGACCTAGAAACTATTTTTAGGACTCTTTAGGTCCTCCAGTGTGACTTTATGACTGGTTTTGGCTAGAGGTTGACCACAGAATTGAACCAGAAATATTAGAAATTATCTTTAGGACTCTTTAGGTCCTCCAGTGTGACTGGTTTTGGCCAAAGGTTGACCACAGAATTGAACCAGAAGAATTAGAAACTATCTTTAGGACTCTTTAGGTCCTCCAGTGTGACTTTATGGCTGGTTTTGGCCAAAGGTTGACCACAGAATTGAACRASAAYAATTAGAAARTATCTTTAGMACTCTTTAGGTCCTTRAGTGTGACTTTATGGCCAGTTTTGGCCAGATGTTGGCCATAAAATCGCATTGGAGAACCTAGACATTCCTACAYGTAMTCTTTGTAGGCTCTCCAAGTCTTCTAGGGTGYTTGTATGGTCAGATTCCYCCAGACACTGACCATTGAAGTGCACTGGCAGACCTAGATATTCCTAGAYGTGTTCTCTCTTGGACGTTTGCATGGRCTGCTTCTGCCAGAGGTGGGCCATATAATTGTATTGTTAGACTTAGACATTTCTAGAGGAGTTTTCTCTAGGTCCTCCAATGAGAGTCCTAGAAATTTTAACTAAACCTGCAAAATTAAACCTGCAAAGATGGAGTGCCCAATGTATTTTGAGCTGTGACAAATCAACTAGAATATAATCTGTATATAGGTTGGGTTGTAATGATGGAAAAGAATGATTATCACTTGAAGCAATTTTGAGTTGCTTCTTTCTGAAGAGCAGCTGGACTTTCCTTTCAATGGGTTATGGATTTTGTTTCTTTTTGGACACTGTGGGTTGGAACGGGGTTGGTCCCTTGGGCCACGGCAGGCCGGCAACCAATTCACGATGTGTTGGTGGTACGAGAAATAAAGGGGAGCGACAACCCGAAGGAAAGTCCGTGTGGGCCTAGATCTCGTTCTGTTCCTTCAGGTCACCATCGGCCAAGCCATCGTACTCCACCGAACGCGGGGACATCCCCAGGTATTGCTTCAGGAACTCGCTGAACCGTTTCTGGTTGTGCCACTTCCGAGCTGACTTCCGAACCCCGATGAACCCCCCGAAACGCTTCTGGAGGTCTTGCACGCCCGGATCACTCAGGAGGTCCCCTAAGAGATCTGGTTGGCTGCTGTGGTTTGGCCCGTCTTCCAAATCTGGCCGACGCATGACTTGTTTCTCATCTTCAACTGCCCGGGGGAAGTCACCGAAGCGTTTCAGGGTGCCTCGGCCTCTTGGCGAGTCGATGTCCCAAAACTCGAAAGGCCAGGTGACTTCGTCATCTAGGCCTTCAAAGCCCAGCAGCAAAGAAGAAGGCTTCCTACTGATCGCTTTGTGGCAGAGATCCCAAGTGGCTCTGGACAACAGCTTCTTCTCACACTCCATGACACAGATCTGCAAAGACAGAAGCATAATAATACAGTGAAGGTCGAGGCAGCATCAACTACCATGTCAGGTGAAACATCTCTCATTTTTGAGTTACAAACCTGGTAGATCAGTGTTTCTCAACCTGGGGGTCGGGACCCCTGTGGGGGTCACGAGGGGGTGTCAGAGGGGTCACGAAAGACCATCAGAAAACATAGTATTTTCTCTTTATCATAGGTGTTCTGCGTGGGAAGTTTGGTCCAATTCTATCATTGGTGGGTTCAGAATGCTATTTCATTGTGGGTGAACTATGAATCCCAGCAACTACAACACCCAAATGGCAAGGTCTATTTTCTCCAAACTCTACCAGTGTTCACATTTGGGTATATTGAGTATCTGAGCCAAGTTTGATCCAGATCCATCACTGTTTGAGTCCATCGTGTTCTATGGATATAGGTGAACTACAACTCCAAAAACTCAAGGTCAGTGTCCACCAGACTCTCCCAGTATTTCTCTTGGCCATGGGAATTCTGTGTGCCAAGTTTGATTCAATTCCATCATTGATGGAGTTCAGAAGGCTCTTTGATTTTAGATGAACTATAAATCCCAGCAATTCCAACATTCCCAAATGACAAAATCAATCCCCTCCAACCCCACTAGTATTCAAATTTGGGCGTTTCGGGTATTTGTGCCAAATTTGGTCCAGTGAATGAAAATACATCCTGCATATCCAATATTTATATTACGATTCACAACAGTAGCAAAATTAAAGAAGTAGCAACGAAAATAACATTATGGTTGGGGGCCACCACAACGTGGGAACCTGTTCTAAGGGGTTGCGGCATTAGGAAGGTTGAGAACCACTGTGGTAGATGAAGGGAACACTGAGGATGTGGCCAATCTCAATTCCAGTTAGGGCTTTAAGAGGATTTCCCCATGACATTCTCACAAAGAAGCTAATAAAATGTGGACTGGACAAAGCTACTCTTATATGAATTATTAATTGGTTGACTTGCTAAACTTAAAAGGTGCTTCTCAATGGTTCCTCTTCGTCTTGGAAAGGAGTGTTGTCGAGTCACAGCACACACACCCCCTCCCAATATTTATAGATCATCAAGAGACTCCAAACAAAATATATGCTTTGTTATTTATTTTTAAATATTTTCCACAGCTCCGAAGTTGTGAAATGTAAAGCGCAAGAGGCTCTGGAATGGACCTAGCAGCAGCTGCACCCCACAAACTTTATCAAATCTAACCTTTTAATAAAATATATCAATTTGATGATTTTTTGAATACCTTGTATGTTTTACATCCTGTGTCAATTCCTAAAAGTACAAATGTCGAAACTGTATCAAATGGAATGTATCAAAATGTATCTACAAGGAAGCTACCTCTCCATATCCCCAGTTGGCATAATTCCTTGGGAAAGGAAATCACAGCCAGGATCCCTCCAGCTATTTCCCAAGCCACATCAATACCAAAATCTTTGTGTGTATGCAGATAGATGATCCTTTTTGTCACCAGGATAAGCTGAAGATGTTTGTTTGTTCAGCTTGAGGCTGAGAGTCTGCTGCTCCCCTGAAAGAAGGGGCTCAGCAAACATTAATACATGAAATCTTGATAGGCGCAGCCAAGCCTTTGCTTGTTTGGAATCACCACCTTTACCTTTTGGGTTTTGTTTCACGTGGAACTAGACACTTGATTAGGGATTATATAATAACAGCTGGATGTATTTCTCAAAGAACTGGGAAGCCCTGGCCCTTGACCGCTCCAGCTGGAGGTCAGCTGTGACCAGCAGTGCTGCAGAATTTGAGGAGGCCTGAATGGAGGGCGAAAGTGAGAAGCGTGCCAAGAGGAAGGCGCGTCAAGCCAACCCCGACCGAGACCACCTTCCACCTGGAAACCGATACCCTCACTGCGGAAGAAGATGCAGAGCAAGAATAGGGCTCCACAGTCACATACGGACCCACAAGAATATTGGAAGACAATCATCCTCGGAAAACGAGGGATCGCCTCAGTAAAGTAAGTAAGTAAGTAAGTAAGTATTTCTCAAAAGTAAAATACAGATGTAACAATATCCAAGTGGAACTGAAGTAAAAAACTGTGTAAAAAATATGCTTCATGTGCATAAGAATTCATAAATAATTATTTATTTGTTTCAACTAACAGATTAAAGACTCGTGTCAAGTTATAGGACTAAAGTGGGACCACCCAGTGGCACAGTGGGTGAAACCCTTGTGCCAAATCCGGGGAGAGCGCGGATGAGCTCCTTCTATCAGCTCCAGCTCCTCATGCAGGGACATGAGAGAAGCCTCCCACAAGGATGGTAAAACATCAAAATATCCAGGCGTCCCCTGGGCAACGTCCTTGCAGACGGCCAATTCTCTCACACCAGATGCGACTTTTAGTTTCTCAAGTCACTCCTGACATGCAAAAAAAATATCAGGACTGAAGTTACATTTCTAAAAGTCGGCTGGAGATTGCTTTACTTAGGCGATCCCTCGATGTTCGAGTAGGATGGTCTTCCAAGGTCAGCATTCTGGTGGGTCCGTAGGTGGCTGTGGAGCCCTATTCTTGCTCTGCATCTTCTCCCACAGTGAGGGCATTGGTTTCCAGGTGGAAGGCAATCTTGATCAGGGTTGGCTTGACGCGCCTTCCTCTTGGCACGTTTCTCTCTTTCACCCTCCATTCGTGCCTCTTCAAATTCTACAGCACTGCTGGTCACAGCTGACCTCCAGTTAGAGCGTTCAAGGGTCAGGGTTTCCTGGTTCTCGGTGTCTATGCCAGAGTTTTTAAGGTTGGCTTTGAACCCATCTTTAATCTCTTTTCCTGCCCACCAACATTAAATTTTCCATTCTTGAGTTCGGAGTAGAGCAACTGCTTTGGGAGACAGTGGTCGGGCATCCGGACAACATGGCTGGTCCAGCGGAGGACCATCGCTTCAATGCTAGTGGTCTTTGTTTCTTCCCACATGCTGATGTTTGTCTGCCTGTCTTACCAAGAGATTTGCACGATTTTCCGGAGGCAGTGCTAAAGAATAGTTCCAGGAGTTGCATGTGATGTCTGTAGACAGTCTACGTTTTGCAGGCTTATAGCAGGGTTGGGAGGACAATAGCTTTATAAACCAGCACTTTGGTATCCTTACGGATGTCCCGGTCCTCAAACACTCTCTGCTTCATTCGGAAAAATGCTGCACTCACACTTTACTTACTTACTTAGGCGATCCCTCGTTGGACGAGTAAGATGGTCTTCCATTATGGATTTCCTTGTGGGTCTGTATGTGGCTGTGGAGCCCTATTCTTGCTCTGCATCTTCTTCCGCAGTGAGGGCATTGGTTTCCAGGTGGAAGGCGGTCCCGGTCAGGGGTTGGCTTGCCGCGCCTTCCTCTTGGCACGTTTCTCTCTTTCACCCTCCACTCGTGCCTCATCAAATTCTGCAGCACTGCTGGTCACAGCTGACCTCCAGCTGGAGCGCTCAAGGGCCAGGGCTTCCCAGTTCTCAGTGTCTATGCCAGAGTTTTTAAGGTTGGCTTTGAGCCCATCTTTAAATCTCTTCCTGCCCACCAACATTCCGTTTTCCGTTCTTGAGTTCGGAGTAGAGCAACTGCTTTGGGAGACGGTGGTCGGGCATCCGGACAACGTGGCCGGTCCAGCGGAGTTGATGGCGGAGGACCATCGCTTCAATGCTGGTGGTCTTTGCTTCTTCCAGCACGCTGACATTTGTCCGCCTGTCTTCCCAAGAGGATTTTCCGGAGGCAGCGCTGATGGAAAAAAGCTGCACTCGCAGAGCTCAGGCGGTGTTGAATTTCAGTGTCAATGTTGACTTTTGTGGAGAGGTGGCTCCCAAGGGAGCGGAAATGGTCAACTTTTTCTAATGTTACACCATTAAGCTGTATCTCTGGCATTGGAGATTATATTGATGTAACTTGTGAGGGGAAGTTGGAAGCTACACACTGACTACTGTATTGGGTTACACATTAAAGAGACATATACTGACATTTAAAATCAAATCCTGTAACAAACATATAAAGAAAGGGTGCCTGGCTTCACAAACGTGAACTACACGTGGTTTATTTTTGTTGTTTTATTGTTGTATTTGGGCTTGGCCTCTTGTAAGCCGCACAGAGTCCTTTGGGAGATGGTAGCGGGGTACAAATAAAGGATTATTATTATTATTATTATTATTATTATTATTTTACAATACGCCACAATCCATTAGTAGGAACCGACTTGAAGGCATGTAACACCAACAAGCAGACATGTTGTTTTGATGGACATATTTAGACAAAAGAATGCATTATATAAAAAAACAAGCACAATTAAAGCCTTGGCAGACCGTGCAAAAAGAATCTGTGAACCCCACCTCCTCCAAGATGAACTGAACCACCTCAACTGGGCTCTCCAGGCCAATGGAGACTCCACCTCAGACATCAGAAGAGCTGCAAGACCAAGAACAAGCCACGAGAGTAAAGATGAAGATCCACCCCGAGGAAAAGTGTTCTTGCCATACATCAAGGGAACCACTGACCGCATAGGGAAGCTGATGAGGAAACACAACATACAAACAATCTACAGACCCACCAAGAAAATCCAACAAATGCTACGTTCAGCAAAGGACAAGAGGGATCCTCTCACCTCTGCAGGAGTCTACCGTATACCATGCAGCTGTGGACAAGTCTACATAGGGACCACCAAATGTAGCAAGGCCCAAACACGCATCGAGGAACATGAAAGGCACTGCAGACTACTTCAACCAGAGAAGTCAACCATAGCAGAGCATCTGATGAACCAACCTGGACACAGCATATTATTTGAGAACACAGAAGTGCTGGACCACTCTCACAACCACCATGTCAGATGACACAGAGAAGCCATTGAAATCCACAAGAAGCATGTGGACAATTTCAACAGAAAGGAGGAGACCATGAAAATGAACAAAATCTGGCTACCAGTATTAAAAAACTCAAAAATTTCAACAGCAAAACAACAGAGGGGAAACAAACAGGCACATAAAATCACTCTCAACAAGAG